AAATTAGCCTGGTGCTGTGGGGAGTGCCAATAGTCTGGGCTACTCAGGAGGCTGAGGCAGGAGGATTGCTTCATCCCAGGAGTTTGAGGTTGCTATAAGCTAGGTTGACTCAATGGTACTCTAGCTTGGATTCAGGGAAAAGACTGACTCTGAAGAGTGAGAGACTCTGTCTCCAAAGTGGGGGGGGTGGGGGGGAACAATCATTAGACTATCAGAATGACTTTCTGTAAATATTCTAGGTTTACAGTTTTATTTCTAAGTCTCTGTCACGTATGAAATCTTTCGAGGTACAGCAGGTTTCTACTACTCATTGCTTACAGAGTTTGCAGGCAGCAGAACAGCTCATTTTGGGCATTGCTGTCACTGTGTACATCCATGGAACTGATGAATTGGTATTTCCTCTTCCATTGGATCCATGCCCATGTGTAACAAATAGCCCTTATATTCTTCAGGAAACCTAGAGAATTGACACACGAAAACATCTTTCAAGTGATTCTAGCCTATCGATCCTAAAATTTTCAAGGATGTTGCAGATAAAATTAATGTCTTTTCCTTCCAGGAAAAAAAAAAAGAGGAGGCAGCTGAAATACTGGCCTGTGCTCAACTAGACGGATAACAAATTGCAACTCAAAACAATTAATCTCATCTGTAGCTTAATGGAGGGTTTTCTGTTCCCAACTGCCCAGTTAGAAAAGCTGTTTGTATTGTTAGACTGCCTTGATAAATTCTTGTCAGCTGGCAAAAAACAATTACCAAGAAATTAAGCTAATTATTGCTTTTTGTTTGCTTATGGACAGTTTATAGGATCTTGTGTAGTTTGTAACAGAGAACAGCTTTCAGGTTACCATGAAAATGATAATGCTCAAAAAATATGAGTTAAGAAAATAGCAAAAGGATGAGCTCACTACTCAAGCCGTTTTCAGTTAGGAAAGACAGCATGAGTTGTCTTTAAAACTGCAAAGACCGTGATTTCCCTGAGACTAATACTCATTCTCTAAATTGGCTTCAAGAGCATGTAGAACATGAATCTTTCGAATTACTTAAGAATTTAGTTTGTAGTCCTCAATTCAAAAAAGAAGACCTTTAAGAAAAATATGCTCTGTGAAAGCGCAGTGTCTAGCATTTGTCATTTTCAATTTTCATTAAATGTTCATTTTCAGCCTAAAGTTAGTCCTGAGATAAAGGAAGATAATGGCATAAAAATGATTTCTTAGATAAATGTTAGGTACAAGGTTAGTTAATTACCCCGATATTAACACCTGTTTCCTCAATTCTGCAAAAAGGAGAGAAGGCAAGGTAGAGGAGGTCCGAAGGAACCCGGCAGAGATGGGATCTGACAGATGGTTGCAGGAAGAGGGGGAGGGGGAAGAGGCCGAGACGAAGCAGTCAGTGAGGCTGAGGAAGACGGCAGAGGAGTCATGGGAGTAATAGTCAAGGAAGGAGGAAGAGGGGTGGTGTGTTCTAGGGTGGGAGCCCTGGCCGGGCCAATGGATGACAAGGAGTTGCTGGGAAGGATGCGAATGAGATGGAGTGAGGCAGAACACGGAGAGGTTGGAGGGCTGGTCCAGGGCCTAGAGTGCCACTGGGTGGTCTCCTCCTTTCCCTTGGAGACAAAAGGAAGGAATGGGATAGTGGTGGCCATGAAGATTCTGAGAAACTTTGCTTAAGACTGGTGAGACTGTGAAAAGATGGCGTTAATCTTCTCAGTAATTGAGAACTGGAGTGGAGCTGAGGTGTGCCAGAATTTGAATCAAGGGAAGACTCATTGAGAGACCTGCCTTAACACGATGTACAGGGTACCCTGTTAGAAATGTCATATGGGCAAATTTGTGCTCTTAGCTCTTGTCAAAGTCCAATTCGTTAAACTTTGCCAAGACATGTGGGCAGAACTTGGACTCTGTCTTTCAAGTGGTATCTAGGGGAGAGATGTATTTGGGAGGAACCTCTTTGCAGTGGTCCTCAGCCCTGGCCCCATGTTGAGTTTCTGGAGGTAGGATCCAGGCATTAGAAACCTTTAAAGCTTAATTCCAAGGTGCAACCAAGTTCAAGAACCAGTGCTAAGTTTAGAGGACTTCATGTGCTATGCCCGTCAATGTCCTGATTCTGGCAAATTTCTTCGTGCGCCTCTCTCTTCCTTCTTCCAAGCTATGAACTCGAACCTTGAGCTGTCGCCAGTGAGAAGCATCTGAGGCACCCAGGTGTTTTTCTTCTTTTTTAAGCTGTACAATATGAATGCTGAGGCCAGTTTTTCTGGCCTCTGTTTTCACAGTTGCTCCCTTTAGAACCAGGGATGGAATAAAAAAGGCAAGGCCATTCTTCTATGGTTCCTTTTATTCTGTTGCAATAAAGAACAAATGGCAAAAATGCACATAACAAAAGATCATTTTTTTAAAGAGCGTCTGAGTACCCCTCACCTCTGTTTTCAAGAGTCAGTGTTTTGAAGGCTCACAGTGAGACTGGGGAGAGGGGGCCGTAATGCCACATCACTAGAAACTGTGAGGTATGGCGTCTGCTCACCTATCTGACATGCTTAGTTAACAATGTGCAGGGCCAGCAGATGACGGGCTTGATAAACGATGACAGGCTTGATAAACATGTTGCCTCGGGTTTTGGTTTTGTTTTGTCAAATTCTGATGGCTGACCTAAATATTATGAGGTCGTGATGCCAGTGAAATTCATGATGGCTCTGAGTGATTTTAGCTATTCTGCTATGTGGGATGAATCACTGTCAAAGATTCAACTGGAGCGAGAAACAAAGACCCAGCTAGACCAGACCTGAGCAGAAGGGTGGGAGTAGAGGTGACCTAGCAGGCCCTCCTTGCTGGGGGTTGCCCCAAAGCTGACTGGGAGCAGCTTTGCGTTGATTTCTCCATATCATATGTTTTGGTCTTTCCCTCATAAACAGCATCTCCTTTTAATCAGAAAGCCAGTGTTTGATAAGGGATAGTAAAGTGTTTTTACCATAGTCCTTTCCTTTCCCTTTCACCTTGTCCCAGAGCCCGACAGGTGCCTCAGTCTCCTGTTAGAGTGCTGTGGTAATGAAGCCAGCCTCCCCCCTGGACGTCAAGCCGAGGGACTTAGTGCCCGGTGTGCCAGGACCTGAGCATACAGTGATGCGCAAAATGAAACAGACCAAGCATAGCTTCTGCCCTAGGTTTTGTTACAAATGAAAGTTTTAAAGTTGCTTGTCTAAAAAGCTGAGGAGAATAAATTCTATGCCATGCCAGCAGGAGGAAAAGCTGGTACATAAACGGTGATGGGATGAAGAGTTTGAGGGTGTGGGGAGCAAGCCCAGCCTCAGGGTGCTCATCTGGGTCTTGAGTTGGTGAGGTTCTTTGCACACGATCCCCCTGCAGGCTTGGGAGCTGTGGACTCACTGGGAGTGAGTGCAGGTTGGCGTGTGTGTAGCTCAGAAACCACCACTCTGGGCTTGGCGCCTGTGGCTCAAGTGGCTAAGGCGCCAGCCACATACACCTGAGCTGACAGGTTCGAATCCAGCCCATGCCCGCCAAACAACAATGATGGCTGCAAACAAAAAATAGCCGGGCTATAGTGTGGGCAAAGCCATTAGATTTTGTGGGTTATTCTCTACCAACTTATTCACTACCTACCTTGCAGTGGGAAGGTGGGGCCAGAGGTCAGAACTGAGTTGTTTGTACTTAAAGTATTGTTTTCTAGTGGTTATTAATCTGTATTTCTATAAGATAGAACATAAAAGGACCCAGGAATCTTACATGAGAAAATCAGCCCATGGGAGGATCAGGAGTTTACCCAACAGCTGGCTCAGTTCCTGCCACACGTGCCCTCCGGTCCTGGGCTTCCAGATCTGTCCTCTCACATTCATCTTAAGGAAGACAGTTGTTTGCCCTTTTGATAAAAGTATGCCTTCTATCAAAAGTCAATTACAAATGGAGCCATTTGACGCAGCCCCTTCTTTCGTCCATTTCTGTGTTAGCTGTTTTTGGAGGTGAGAGAGCACTAGAAAAGAAACACGTGACAGTGAAGAGGTCTTATGCTCACTTGACTGTATCAGTGGTAAACCTTGTAAGTAGGTTCATCAGGACCTGTACTGAAAAATTCTATAGCAAATTCTTGTTAGAACAGAAGGTAAACTTTGGAGAAGCTTTGATTTAAGCTTAGAAATATAAACCAGATGTTTTCTCACTTTAATGTTCGATAATGTTTTTAACTGGTCTTCCTAGGTAGCTGATTCACATAATAGAATCAATGGAACATAATGACTCTAAAGGAGCCACCAGGCCCCAGTTAGATGTAGAAACACAGAGTTTGTTTTCAAGTGAGGATCATACTGAAACAGGCAAATATTCCTCCTGAATTGTGTGTTTGCTTTCAAGATGTGCTATGTGAATAAGCATCGTGGTTCCTAACCTATGTTTGTGCTGACAAAAACGTTAATACCCCGTTTCATATGACATAATTCACCTGCTAGTGCTGCGGGTTGATGGGCAGGCAGAGGGTGTACAAAAGGTTTGAAGTTGCATTTCTCATCATAGAACATGCCGAAGGAAAGGTGGAGGTGGCTTTTCAATCACATCTCTTCCCAGAATAATTTGCTCCTTCCCTCACCTCACTAATAGGTGAAAATACAGGTTGGCGATTTTTTTGTTTTTTTGAGACAGAGCCTCATTCTCTTTCCCAGGCTAAAGTGCCATGGCCTCAGCCTAACTCATGGCAACCTCAAGCAATCCTTCCCTCAGCCGAAGAGCTGGGACTATAGGCGCCTGCCATAAGGCCCTGCTAATTTTTCTATTTTTAGTAGAGATGGGGCCTTGCTCTTGCTTAGGCTGGTCTCAAACTCCTGAGCTCAAGTGATCTTCCCTCTTCAGCCTCCCAGAGTGCTAGGATTATAGGCATAAACCACTATGCCCAGCCAACAAATATTTTTGTAATTTGATTGCTTTTCAAAATTGTATTGCAGGGCTGATTGTGGGGGAAATGTTTACAATGGTTTATATGTGATTGTTCCTTCTCTTTGGCAGGAAATAACTACATGTTTGCCAGATTACTACAAATGGACTCAATACCTCTTCATTAAACTCTATGAAGCTGGCCTGGCCTATCAAAAGGAGGTAAGTTGAAGTTGGCTACTCTTTCAAAGGCAGTATGACTGTTAAATAAGAATCAAATAAACCCTGTTTGCACAGTAGCAGTGAACGTGAACACTACCTCAAGTTTGTGAAATCAGTCACAGCAGACCCAGGAAATAACTACTGCCTGGCTCAGTTTATTGCCTTCAAGACAGGATCTGAACTTCTTTTACCCTAAATTCCCAGCATATAACACAGTGTTTCGTGCCTATAATGAGATAAAGGAGAGTGCATAGGAAGAAAGAAGACCGGCTTTTCACATCCTAGCTCAGCTCCCTTGCTCAGCTGTGTGACAAGCTGGCTAATTTATTCTCCAGGAAATGGGGTTTCTCATCTGCTAAATGGGGATGGTAACATTTTCCTTGCAGGATTCAGTGGTTTAAATGTGCCCTCCAAAACGCAGGTTGAAATTTAATTGCCATTATGATGGATTTAAGAGGTGGGAGAGCCCTCATGAATGGATTAAAACAGGCTCCTGAGAAAAGGACGAGTTTGATCCAATTCCCTCTCTCTATCTCTCTACCTTCTGCCACAGGATAATGCAGCACAGAGGCCTTTGCTAGATGCTGGCACCATGCTCTTGGGCTTCCCAGCCCCCAGAACCACGACCCAAATAAACTTCTCTTCTTTGTAAGTTACCCAGTCTGTGCTATTCTATTATAGCAGCAGAAAACAGACTAGGATGTGTGGTTCTTGGGAAGATTAGAAGTAACAGTTAAAGAATAAATATCACAGTACTTACCCATAGTGGTCTTCCAAGAAATCAAGGTATTTATATGGCAGGAACTCAGTCATAGTAGACAAGGCTTGGAATGGTGGGAAATGAGGCAAGAATGTCACAGTGTGGCCCAGAATTGCACTGTTCAGCATGACAGCCACTAGCTACATGTGGTTGTTTACCTTTAAGTCTAAAGTAATTAAAATTAAATAATATTAATAAGTCACATTCTTAGCTATACTAACCAAATTCCAAGTGCTTCGTAGCTCGTATGCTAGTAGCTAATCCTGGACAGCAACAGGCATAGAATATTTCCATCATAACAGACTATTCTATTAGACAGCTCAAGGTTCACAGTAACAAGTAGAAAATCCATTGTACTTTTATTCTTGAGACATTGTTCTTTGACCAGTGTGTTTCATGACATAGGATTCCTTCTCTGAGAGTCCCACAGACTTTGGCTTTGCAGTGAATAATATTTATGTAATCATGTGTTAAGATTTTAAATTTTTAGAATCAATAAAGAGACAGAGGCAGAAGGCTCAATTTAAACTTCAGAATAAAACAAAAATGCCTGAAACCTTAACTGCATAAAAATAACATATACCGGGCACAGTGGCTCATGCCTGTACTCCCAGCACTCTGGGAGGCTGAAGCAGGAGAATAACTTGAGGCCAGGAATCCAAGACCAGCCTAAGCAAGAGCAAGACATTCATCTCTACAAAAAAATAGAAAAATTAGCTGGGCCTGATAGCGCATGCCTGCCTGTAGTCCCTCCTAGTAAGAAGGCTAAGGCAGAAGGATCACTTGAGCTGAGGAATTTGAGGTTGCTGTGAGTTATGATGATGCCACTGCACTCTAGCCAGGGCAACAGAACAAGATCCTGTCTCATAAATATGTATGTGTGAGTGTGTATACGTATGTGTGTGTGTGTGTGTATATATATATATATGAACGTCTATAGTTGATCACCTCCCTACTTTGGCCACCTCCTTAAGTTGACCTAATGTTCATAAACTGAACATACACCACATGTACATATCAATATATAGTAGGCCTAGTTCCTTACATTAACCACCTCTGTATGTTGACCATGGCTGAACAATTGGCTTTTATGTCATGTCGAGCCAAAGAATCTCTTGTCAGAGATTCTACTATAGTTTTTTTTTTTTTTTGAGATTCTACTGTAGTTAACAGAAATCAAGAGGTGAGATAAGGGACACAAAGCAAAAGTAAGAATGAAATGGCCCCTTCATCTTTTATAACAGAGTGGTAGATGAAGAATTTGAGGTTTACTATTTAACTTTAGTAAAATAGACAGATAGTAGTAGAAAAGTAGCTATTAAAGCTAAAGTTAACAAAATAGCAGAAACTACCAGAGGGGTGGGGAGGTGGAAGAAATGCTATAGGACTATGCTTATTTCATAGCAAAGGGGTCCACAGATATAATCTAAAGATAATGTATCAAAATGGAAATATAATTGTATTATATAAAGTTATAAGAGTAAACACCAGAAGAGCAATTGGACAGCACATGCTAGAAGTAGAGAAGTGTTTTCATAACCATTTCAGGTGATTATGGATGTTTTTCTTTGCTAATACACCAAAACTCAGTAAGTGATAGTT